GATAATGTACAAATGTCCACCCCCACATAGTGAACCAGAGCAGCCTTTACATTGCATATTTATGATTTTTCAATGACACGGATGCACTCCTGGCTGAACGTGAGAGAGTATGTGTAAGTATGGGATGCAGGGATCTAAGGCCGTCCAGCAGGGGGGGTTGGCAGTCAGTGGAGAGGGCCAATGGCTGAGGCTGTGTGGCTAAGTGTCTCATCAGCATCCTACTCATGTTCCAGGCCCACGCTCTAACTGCGCCCTGACTTGATTGTAATTGCCTGAATTCGGCTCCCGCTGCTCCATCCTGGCAATATAACTGCCACATTTTAACCCCAGCGAGCCTAGACACTGCCACACAGCCCTTTGGCTGTTTGGAAGGATGTTATATTTGACTCCACTTGGGCAACATCTGTGCATATATGGTCAAAGGCTTCCAAATATATTGCCTTTCCTTTCAGTTTGAATTGCAGTCTAGAAAGGGGACAAATGAGCTTTTATATCCCCCTCTATTATTTTGGTTTAAATATTTATTTTTCATTCTGTTCCAGTAGCTGCAGAGCACAGCACTAGCAACAGCAAAGGCTATGGGTTTCTGATTAAATCTATACCTTGGAACACACTAATTGCTTTGGATAAAAACTTTAGTTATTTAAAAATAAAGATTTTTGAATTGCAAATTTGGTTTTGTTTTGGTCTGGTTAGCCATATTCTTCAAAATATCTTCTTTTCTGTTGAACAGAAGAAAGAAACTCATGCAGATTTGAAACAACATGAGGGTGAGTAAATTTGATTTTTTTTATTTTTGGGTGAACTATCCCTTTAATAGTTAACGATTTTTGAACGAAAAATGGTAATCTAAAAATCGCTCTTATAATCTAATCTAAAAATAATCTTGCCTGTAGTATTTTTCCAGTGCAGTATTTTTCAAACAAATGACCATTACCAAGAGATATTTTAATGCCTTGAGGATTTACCAACATTCCATTAAAACTTGGAAAATCAAAAAGTACATCCAGACACCTCTTGAAGTACATGCATTGTACCAGCATGAGTGTGTGACTTCCTGCTGCATGGCAGGAAGCGTGCGGGCTCACACCGGCAGGGTTAACTTCAGAACTCCCCTGCGGAGCTCCTCTCTCTGTGATAATAGTTGCTCGCGTAATGAAGAGCAGCCTACTAGCCAACAGGTGGTCCTTTTTAAATAGCCTAGCCACTGCACTCAGGACGAAAAAAACTGCCATGCTAAAATGTGTCAGAATCTAATGTTCCACAGAATGAAAAACCTGTTTTCTTCCCTTTGTTCAGCGCTAGATATTCAGCCTTGTTCGCCATTGTTCCCCGCACAAACGAGCAACAGTCTTTTTTGACACAGAGCCATGGGGGGAAGAAAGACTGAAGCTGACTAGTCACAGGAGAGAGAAGGGGGATAAAAGCTTTCTTTCCTTCTTTTTGGAGGGTTGAAGCCCATTAAGAGTTTGGGAGTTATGAATGGTTATGAGTCCATGTCTCTCCTTCGCACAATGTAGGAGAACCAAAGAAAAAGAGAAAAACCTAACTGGCTTTGCAAAAAGTCTTAATCACATACAGGCCGTACAGAGGAGATAGTAAAAGGTAGCGAAAGAGCGAGAAAGCGTGTGACAGAGAGAAACCAGTAAACGAATCAGGACGGAAGTACCTTTTGCTTCAGACAGAATGGCTGGGTGAAGTGGAGTGGATGGGGGTGGGGAACGGAGTTAATCCTCCGCCGGGCCTCAAAACGTCCCCCTCTACCCTTATAAAATCATGAGAATATAGCCATTGACTGCTTTAAAGACTTCTTTGGGTGTATAATGTGTCTACTTCCTGGAGGAAAAAAAAGATTGTGTTTGGATTTTATGGCGATTGATGGCGATTGAGGAGAAATGTATCAATGCTGTAAAGTGTAAAGTATCAAAGTGTAAGATTACTCAACTCTCATGTTTAAAAAAAACTTAAAACAAAAACGAGGAACCAATTTGTAGAAAGAGTCAACAAAGGACAGAGACTGACAGTCACTGACGATGTAGACTATACTTCACCTGCCTGCGTTCTCAGCTTAATGACCAGAAGGACAAACGGACACTGCTGAGCCATACTTCAGAACAAAGGCCTTAATTCACTTTTATAATCCATTTGTTATTGTCCGGCCAATTTGTTCTCTTAAGCTACATAAGGGTCCAAGCCTGAGACAAAAGCTGAGGGGTAACAATAGACAACTCCCCCCAGTTTGCTTTGTTACTGTTCAAGTACACACCTCCCAGGGTGCATTGCGGGCCTTTTTCGGGCTCTAGAAAGCTAGAGCAAAAATTAGCGAGGTCTGGTAGAACACCTGGAGGAGTCAGCTTTTGCTTCTCCCACTTCACTGTTACAACAGATCGCAGCCCTCACACAGAGAATTCCAACAAGTCCTGTGTTTTGACAAGCCTTCACTCAGGCAGTTTTAATTACCTGTCATGATGGGATTGTGAATGTGGGTACAAGCTGAGAGGAACAGGAGCCCTGGGTACAGCTTGTGCAATAAAAGTACAGCGAGATCCAAACATGTCTTTGGTGACATTTGTAAATTTCTTCTGTTGGACTAGATATTTTCATAGATAAGTTTATCGATGTGGAGTTGAAATAAATTGTCTTTCAATAAAAATCTGTCCATGCACTCTCATCCAGTGCTAAAAGGGGTCTTTGGTTTTAAAGTCCCCATGAAATGAAAATTCACTTTTTTTTTTTTATGGAATATTGCAGTATTTTTTTTTTTTTTTTTTTTATCTGAGCACTTGATTTTTTATTATTATTGTGCCCTTTCTATCTTTAATTAAAATAACTTCCCCTCGCTCTTGCAGCAACATCTCTTCTCTTCTCTGATGACAACCTGTCACTCACATGAGATCGACCAATAGCAAACCACAACAATCCAATCAATTCCCGATGGACAAAATCAAGTCCCACCCTACATTTGTTCTTGTTCGAGAAGCCGTTTCATGTCATATATGTCACAATAGGGAAGAAAAGACTGTTGCAACTTCCATTTTCATGTCGACATTAAAAAGTCAAGTGCTGTGGTGCAAACTGCCTTAAAGAGATAGTTCACCCAGAAATGGAAATTGTCATCATTTACTGTACTCACTCCATGTCGTTCCAAACCTGTATGCATTTCTTCTGCAGAACACACACACACACACACACACACAAAAAGATATTGTGAAAAATGTTTTTGACCATTGACTTCCATACAAAATAAAACTAACACCATACTTAAGTAAAAGTACAGATACCTTACAGTGAAAATGAGTCCATTACAAGTTAAAAGTCACTAATTTCAATACCATTTGAGTAAAAGTCTTAGAATATCTTATTTTAACAGTACTTCAGTAGATCTATTTTACTTGTACTAAATGTAGGCTCAGAGATTCACTAGTCCAAAAACAAGAAACAGTTGTTTTTTGTGGAGAGCAATCAGGTGTTTATTTTCTAAAATCGAAATGAAACTGAACACCTCAATATTGCAATCGACACAAAAGCCTCTTAAACGTTTACAGACACTCAAGTCTCAGTTAAGCTCAAGTGCTAAAAAAAAAAAGGCCCAAGAAAACCAATATCCTTCAAAAAGGTTTCTTCAGTATAATGAATAAATAAAATAATGTCAACTATAATTAAAACCTTGAAGTCAAAGACTACTTGGACTGGATGTGCTGTTTGGGCCTCATCACCGGTTGCATGTCTTCACCTCATATATGAAACGTCTGCAAATCAGCAACTACCTGCTAATGCTAATGCACTCCCATTTTAGCCTTGTTGACAAGTTTGGGTAAGTAAGGGCAAAACACACCAGATATAGTACTTTCACTGCCCTGTTGATTGTGATATCACTTCTTTTGTAGCAGAAATAAATTGCTGCAGAAAAAAATAGGTGCCATGCAAAATATAACGAGTTATTGCATTACTCATCACAAATGTATTGGAGTAAAGAATAAATATACTTATTCAAGTAAGTAGTCAAGTAAAGAAAAAAGTAGCTAATATCCGCTATATTGCTAAGTACAGAAATTACATTTACTCAAATACTTCACACCATTGTCGCAGAATAAAAATCATACAGATTTGGAACGACAGAGTGCGAGTAAATTAATTTTTTGGTGAACTACTTTTCATTTTCTATGATTTAACACTTCAAAGTAAAAAAACAAACAATTATGAATTTATAAACCACTTGCTTAATTTAGGCTAAAATCAAAGATAATTAAGTTAACTTTAAAAAAAATACATATTTTCACTTAAATTTTGAAGAAAAAAAAGAACAACGCATTGAGAGGCTAGAGATGAAAGCTGTGAGTCACAGCAGCTACTACTGTTTGCTCACACTGCCTGCAGTTTGCAATCACATTCACATATTCTCTAAGCAGTCACCTCTACCCTCAATCACACGTAATAATCATAGATCGGTTTTAACGTTAACATATTCATGGGCCCTTTGCTGGCATAGTTGTAAAAGGATTGTTCTTCAAATGTCTTGTACAGCCAAATATCCAGAATTTTCATCATTTCTCAAAAAATTAATATTTTGTCATAATTTGGGCTTACAAGTAGCTGTAACTGTACAGAACATTAATATTAATATAGTTAATGTTTTAACAGAAACTATACGATATAACATGGTGAGCTTATCCTTATAACTCCTTAAGTCCTTATAACTACCTTGCAGATCATTTACTGTAACGTAAAAAATTTCCGAGCCCCTAAAAATGAATTGTACACAACCAAATACATAACATCTACTGAGGATTTTTACTTTATTTTTAGAAAATTACTGGACTGTATGTGAAAACTGGGGGTAAGGAACATATGCACAAATAAAACTGCAGGAATTAGATTTATTAGTTAGTACATTAATTCACATAAATGGTGTCCAAAAAAGTAAACGCACAACACGCATGTATGACAAAGCAAAACATGTACATTTTTACAGATATAAAATATTCAGTGACACACTTCTTTGAAATCTGTGACCATCCATCACAGATCTATACATGACCAAAAGTAAAGATCTAACTCATTAAGAGAAGGTAGAAAACATTTAAAGCAAAAGTCCACGTGTCAGTATGGAAAGTCTCCTGCGTCTGTGGGTTGGAACTCACTGGTTTTCTTCATCAAGGCAGCTTTGACAGCACTTATCTTCCCATCCAGCTCAGCGAGACTGTAGTTCTGTGAAAACAAGAACGTTTTCGACCTTCGTATATTTTCCCCTCAATGAATACGCAAATGCATCAGTAATGGAACTTACCTGCGACATTGAGGCTTTAGGTCGTTTGTGTGAGTAATTCTGTGGGAAAAAGGAAATAAAAGCATGAAATGAATGCTGATTTATATGAACAATGCACATCAGTCGTCATTCAACAAAACGGCAAAGCATTTATCTCAATATCACCCTCTTACATGTTCTGTTTTTCCATAGAAAAAAAAATGAAAATAGGGGGGGGGGGGGGGGGGTATTTAATGCCAACCAAAACAATAAATTGAACCAAGGACACCCATGAGTGGACAGAAACGGCACATGATTAGAGTATGAAACAGATGTCCTTCAGCATCACTCAATCACCGCCAACAGACCCGAGCTGCTATAGACTTACACTGATTAATAGTATTAAGTGGGGGCCATCGGGATTCTTTCTGTCACCCAATGGCCCTTTCATTTATTCTGTCCATCTCTTTTTATCTATTACCCATAATTTATCTTCATTTTAATCACTTTTCAGTGTGCATATGGACCCACTTGGCAGATACATGATATCCGCTCACCCTGGTCAGCAGAGTTCAATTAATTCATTCGACTTGCTGAAAGCTGCGCTACAAACTAAGAAGATCAGCATATTTGACGGCACTCAAAGTCCCACTTTACAGGCAATATGCACACACAGACACACACACACACATTGTAAAGGACATGGAAATCAGCTAGCTTTCAGCCCAGCACTGAACTAAGTGAAGCTGGTGTGAGGAGGCGTAGAAATGGTTCAAGAGCACTTACTCAGCTAACTTTGATGGGCTACAATCTGACAGGGATAACAAATTCTGAAGTGAGGGGAAAAAATATCACTCATATCAGCTTTTAATGGTTTTGAAGAACTCTCTGGCCGACTGTCGTGAGCGCAGGAGGAAACGCATAAGTGAGAAGTCTTCAGCGTAACAGATAGTCAGTGTAAAAACAGAGGAACAAGTGACACAAACTCGGCCTAATTGCACAAAAAAAAGGGTCATAAGAGGTCATATCTTTTTTTTTTTAGCATTCTTTCGCCCTGACCTACACTTGCAGTAAGTCTTGTCAATAAGTCTCTTATGCTCACCAAGGCTGCATTTATTTCATAAAACCTACAGTATTTTTTTTTTTTTTTTTTTACATTTTAATATAATTTAAAATGTAATTTATTCCTGTGATGGCTTAATTTTCAGCATCATTACTCTAGTCTCCAGGGTCACGTGATCCTTCAGAAATCATTCTAATATGATTTGCTGCCCAAGACACATTTATTATTATCAATGTTGAAAAACATTTTTTGATTAACTGAAAGTTCAAAAGAACAGCATTTATTTGAAAAAGTTTTTACTGTCCCTTTTGATCAATTTAATCTGTCCTTACTGAATAAAAGTATAAAAAGTAAATAAATAATATCTTACTGACCCCAAACTTTTATTAAACTTTTGAATAGTAGTGTATAATGCACCACCATTTCTAGTGAAATGTCCCTTTGTATGTAACATGAGCAACAGTGCTTTTCTTCACAAGATTCAGCCTCTTTGCAAAGCCTGTTTTGAATTTTGACAGATTCATAAAACTATCTTCACTCAAATTTGCCACATTAATGAAATGGTCAGGGTAATGATCATCATGTTACAAATAAAGTTCACTGGCAGATGCTATTAGGATGAGGGGACATTCTCCTTCTAAACAGCATTTTATTGGACAAAACTTGTACATGCCTCTGAGATCAAGATGCATCAATATTTTTGTTAATTTTCCAAGGTTTTCTTTTATTTTTTTTATTTTAGGAATACACCAACACATAGACATTCATGTTTTGTTTTTTTATGCTGTCCTTAAAGGAAAACTTCATCAGACAATTTTCTTAATGTCAGTCGCGTCCAACAATTAAAGTGATATTTCACAGCTGGCAAAATGGCCTTTCAATAAAACTTGGTTGCCTGTACAGTAGAAAGGCAATTTTTTTAATTGCCTGTTGTCTTCCGTTTTGCCAAATAGGTAGGAAAACTTCAACACCCATAATGCACTGGGCGTCCAAGGCCTCTCACTCCCACCAGTCTATTATGGATGCGCTTACCAGTCAAATGCCGTAGGAAATACTTCTTAGCAAACTTGGTGTCGACTTGTATTGTTCCTTGGTGCAAGAATTCAAAACGTAAACGTTTAGCGGGAGACGGGAGTGAGTGACTTTTTCGGTTTCCAGTTAAGGATCCAGCGCGTTGAAGGCAATGTCAAAAAGGCGGCAAAGAATAGTAAATACGGAGAGAACGCAGTGATGGAAAATATTTTTTATACCCTTTATAATACCCTTTTTTCACTGTTGCGTAGAGGTAAGAAAGCCGTTGACATAGTTTTCCATTTCTTATACCATAATGCTGTTTAAAGTGTAGACATAATACGATACAATGATACTTATTTATTTTCAGTGATAAATTTACCCTTACAATAACTGTTCTGTTATTAATGAGGATACAAAAATGCGAAAGCCATTGAGTTGTCCAAAGTCCAAAAAAGTGGACTTCTGCTGACAAATAAACATGAATTTCTCGGTCCAGGAAACACGGAGAACATATTTACATGTACTACCGACAATGTAACAATACATTTAACCATTTAGCAGACGCTTTTATCCAAAGTGACTTCCAAATGAGGAGAGCAATAGAAGCAATCAAACTAACAATAGGGCACCAATATGCAAGTGCTGTGACCAGTCCCAGTTAGTCCAGCACAGTACACATAGCAAGGTTGTTGTTTTTTTTAAATAGATATACAATAGTAAGTGTTAGTATTAATGGATAAAGTGTTTTTGAAAAAGATGCATCTTCTGTCGTTTCTTGAGAATGGCTAAAGTCATTCCACCAATAGGGAACAGTCAGGGTAAAGGTCTGTGAAAGAGATTTTGTGCCTCTTTGGGATGGCACCACAAGGCACCGTTCACTTGCAGAATTCAAGCTTTTGGAGGGAATTAGTGAGTCTAGGTAAAGGGGTGTAGAGCCAGTGGTTGTTCTATAGGCAAACATCAGTGCCTTGAATTTGATGTGAGCGGCAATTGGCATCCAGTGCAATTTTACGAGGAGAGTGTGCTCTATCCGGCTCATTAAACACCACTCTTGCGGCAGCAATACAAAGCGGGTTGAAAATCGGCGAAGTTAGACTTTAAGCAATGCAATTGAATTATATTTTATTGAATTCAGTTATTAGTAAAAAATTCTCAAAACATCATTATAAATTTGAATGAATATCACTTTGTATGTGAAAGTTTTAAGCTTTAGATTAATTCTTAAGTATAAAAATGTACAAATTGTCATTTTAGGCAGGAACTCCAGTGGCATATTTACATGCTTATGTCTTGTTAGACATTTTTATCTATTAATCTTTTAGAATACAAACACACTGTGTGATTAGACAGTGGAATATAGTCTTTGATGTTGTGATTCATTTAAAAAAAAAAAAACTCCCCATCAAAATCACCTTATACCTAGTTCCCTGTGTTCATAAGCTACTGTGGATGTTCAAAGAGCATGGAACTTGTAGAAAGAAACCACTAAGATGAACAAACTAATTCAATATCTGATCATCCACTCCTCCAACAAACAAGGACACACACACACATTCTCTATCTCTCTTTTCCCACCACTTACTGTGGAGTGGAAGTACTCTGGCGAAAGACCCTCGAGCTCCAGAATTCGATCTTCAAGTTTCTTTAGCCGCTGATAAACGCTTTGAGGAACTGGACCTACTAAGAGACAGATACAGTAGAGTTAAATGACAAACTAACATTTATCTGTCTGTCAGCACACACTTAGGACTACGAAAAATAGTCTAATTAAATATCAATGTCTAATACATTAAAGGGGCTATATGTAGAATTCAGAAACCTGTGTTATTAGTGAGACCGGTGGCTATTAAGTGAACTGCATCCAGCAACTTATTGCTCATGATCACACTTGTGCACACCTAATGTACAGGAGACTGAATGTGATTCAAGGCCTTGATATCTACTCACAGCGAAGTTCTTTTTCGTTCTTTGCTTAGAAGTAAAAATACGTTTGCAGCAATATATTGTTAACAACTTCAAGACGCGTCCACGCTGCTGAGAGCAACGGTTAGATGAAAATGTAAATATGTGCTGTGCTCTTTCCTCTCAATAACAAAAACACAACAAAAATGACAGCGGTGAGAAAACAGCAGTTAAGAAACAATCTGATCATAGCGATGTTGATATGATCCCTGCTGGCAATTCAGTGGCATCATGTCAACAGATGAGGTAATTATAATTACACTGTTGTGATAGTTTGATTATAAAGTATATTTGAGACTGTAGACTGTGCAGATCTGGCTATGTGAGACTTTGGTTTGAATTAATCCCTTTTCTTAGCATGACACATTGACATGACAGTACAGAATTTCTCTTTCAGCATTATCCTGAACATAACTACCCGTTTCATAGAATGGATGAGAGGCTTTTGGGAGCGCGTTAAGTCACATTCGGCACACCTGGCAAAGCAACCCTCAGAGTCCTTCACGAAAGAAATCAGTATACAGGCTTTTAGACAACCTAGGTAATCGGGGAAGTTCTCGGTTCAAGCTGTTGACACATTGGCAATAAAAAAAAAATTAATATACAGTATATGAAAATTCTTACATTATAGCCCCTTTAAGACAGTGAACTTTCTATAGCTCTTCTATTGATCCTTACCTGGTGGAAGTTTCAGGTGAGATTCCATGTTACGGAGCCTCTCCTCAATGACAGGGTTTCCACAGTCTCGGCTGATGGACCCCTGCTGCTGGTCTCCTAACTCAGAATGTGCCCCTCTGGTTTGAGGTCCGTATGTATTTATAACACGTGTCACTGCAATAGCAAACAAACACCAATTAATGCCCCACAAATCGACAGATCATCCAGATATTATTAGTCTAGAATGTGAGTGCAAGTACATGAAACACTAAACAGAGTGTACAATCATTTCATATTTTAATCATTAAAAAAAACTATATTTATATACTGTATTTACTACCATTATTTCCTACAACAAAATTTCTGTTTGGAACATGTATATGTACATGTAAAAAAGTACACTACTGTTAAAAAGTTTTTTTTTTTAAAAGTGAAATTTTTGTACACTCACATTGGCTATATATATTTGGTCCAAAATACAGTACACAGCAATAATGTGAAATATTATTACAATTTGAAAACCTTTTTCATTTTAATATACTTTAAAATATAATTTATTCCCGTGATGGCAAAGTTGAATTTTCAGCATCAATGCTCCAGTCTTCAGTGTCACGTGATCCTTCAGAAATCATTCTAATATGCTGATTTGCTCCTCAGGAAACATTTATTATTATTTTCACATTGAAAATTGTGCTGCTTAATATTTTGTGGAAACGGTGATACATTTTTCAGGATTCTTTGATTAATAGAAAGTTGTTGTTTTTTTTACAGCATTTATTTAAATCTTTTGTAACATTATAAATGGAACTATGAATAATTTAGTGCATGAATAAAAGTATTAATTTTCTTTCAGACAAAAAAAATCTTACTGACCCCAAAAATTTGAACAGCAGACTTGAGTTTCCATATAATGAGAATGAACAAGCGTCTAACCTTTGACGTGACTCTTGAAACCAGGATATGGTGTGAAGACTGCATCAGTTCTTGCACAGCTGTCTTCTATAGACCACACGGGAAAAGAATGTTAATTTGTAGAGTTTCTGCAAAAAAGTATATATTTATTTATATATATATATATATATATATATATATATATGTATACATTTACAAAAGAAATAGCATAAAATGTCTGCTTTAATGATTAATTGCACATATACAATAGTAAACACCCCATAGATGACCAAAGCAAATGACCTGATTTGGTAAAAATAAAGAGCTTTTAAGATCTGGTTGTATTTGGAGAATTGAGTCTTAGATGATGTGTGTATTGAGTCTTAGATGATGTGTGTATTCTGACCTCACGGCCGTGGAAATCAGCACTCTTACAAACATTGGCAATTGCTGTGTAGTATTCCTCTGACCACCCCCCATTCTCACCCTGATTGCAGTCGATCACGTTGCAAAACTCTCGCACATTGTTTTCATTGATCTCCAGCTGTTTGCGCTCTATAAATGCAGATATCCTGCGTTCAATCTGAGAAAATGAGAGCGAGAGAGAGAGAGAGCAATGAGGGTCAGACTGATGAGCTATTGAAGAAGAAAAAAATCAATCCACTGTCTTCTTTTTTGCTGTTTAGTTTTAATGAGGAACACTAGGCCATATGGGCTGCATGACTAACAAATGACCGCAGTGGACACAATTATTCCAAAAATCAAAATATTTCTCACACGCAACCATTTCAGATAGTTGTGATTTGCTTGGGCCTTTTATTACAGTGACTGTAAATAAATAAGCAATAAAAATGAGGGCCTCCTTGTCCTTCGCCCACATGCAATTTCAGCATGTAATGAACATCCACTTCATAACGTTGCAAGGACCAGGACCTCTCATAGGACTCTCAAAGTGGGTGGCTATTTGTTTCTCTCTAAAGGAAAGCAGGCGGCGAAAGAGCCTTCCATTCATTCTCAACTGTCTGTCCACAGATAGCAATTCACACTCCCTATGACTGGCCAACTGGGGCAGATTATATGCAAATAATAAATAGTGACCGTCAAACAATCAACTTTAATTGTGCTTGGGAAGAGATTGCTTGAATACATCCACAATTTGAATGTTTGGTACAACGATAATCATTAGTAAATACAAATAAAACCAATAACAGCTTAACTGTTCAACTAAATGGACAAAGTATTATACAAAATAATGCTTTTATTGCAGGCAGCATAAAAACAAAGGTTATTTTTTTTTCGGTTTTTATTTATTACAATGCTCACTCTACTTTGTGAGAATATAAAGTTACAATGTAATAAAAATAAATAAGGTTTTATAATAGGTTTTACCTCAGATTTAGCAGCCTTGATCTGCACATTATCATCGACTTGGGTCTTGTTACGATCCTCAAGGACAATGCAGTGGTCAGATGTAGGAGCAACATGCTCCGAGTCAACCAACATCTGCTCAGGTGTATCTGCTCTTTCTTTCCTATCACTGTTGCCTGGATTGGAGTGACTTTCAGAATCCACCATTTGCTTCAGATTTTCAGAGACTGACTGGAAGAATCAGAAAGTTAAATGACAAGTGAAGTGGTAACACAGACAGTTCTTCTGTCCCTTGCGCCATCTTTCAGTTTTCAATGTGTAATCATAATGACAAATTATGTCTTAGGCAAACAAACATGGGATAATGTACAGTCAAGCTGGTCATCATCTCAAAATAAACCCTAACGGGGTGATCTGAACTTGAAGCAGTTTTGGAGGAGAGAACCATTTCTGGGATTATTTTGCGATAACAGCTGCACATATTTCCACTTATGGACCTTATTCTGGGCAAAATGTCATTTTTCAAAACTTTAAACGAGACTGTAAGGGATAGATGTGAAAACAGCTAAATTATCAACACAATTAGTACAAGCATTGGTAAATTTAAGGTGACGAAGTTACACCTTACTACATGTACTTAGTAATAACAGTAAATTATGCATAATTACAAGTAACTAACCCTAAAGCCTAACTGTAACTCTATAGTATATACATGTAGTAAATTAATATCACTCAGTACTTGTTTGAGTAAGTACAATGCAACTACATCACCTTAAAATAAAGTGTAACCCAAGCATTGTCTATCCTCCACAGCCTTGTTTCCATTAAAAAAAAATATATGAAATTTTAATGCACATGATAGCACTATTTGTGTGTCTAATTACCTGTAATTTGGAGATGTGCTGTTGTAAACAGGTGTACACATCAGATGGCTGAAGCTCAGAGACATTGTTGACATTGGCACTTATGCTCAACACTTTCTCATCCACTTTTAACTGAAAAACAAGAGAAAGTTATTTGTTATTGTTGTACATTTGCTTTTAATGGGTATCCCTGCTGAAAAAATACTAAACTAGCCTAGGTAGAGTCTCCCTGTCTGGTCAGGCTGGTCTGTTTATTGGTTTTAGTCTAGAGGCATTAAAACCAGCAACGATCAGCTGGACCAACTGAGACCGTAAACCTCATAACCTCTTGCTAGTGGTGTTTCAGCAGGAATATTAGAATATTCACATGCATTCATTTTTATTGCTTTACTGCAGAGAATCCATAAAATATTACGACAAGGGTGATCTGGTTACTTCGGGAAAAAACTACAGGTTAATAAGACTTTAAATGTAGGCTATATTAAAATAACTGTTATGTGCTCGCACATTGTGATACCCAAGTTTTCCCAACCCTGTTTTAAAGCGCATCATATTTGCACAAACCTTTACGCCAAGCTCAGCGAGTGACTCGATAATAGAGCCAATGCAGTCTTTGAATACACCCCGGTGTCCACCATGATGTGAAATCTGGCTGCTGCGCTGCTCCTGTTTACTTTCTGCACGCGCATCGCGTCTCTCTCCGTCCGCCGCCATCACACTTCCGCTCCTGACGGCAGCGCTGATTGGACTAACCCGCTCCTGTATAATATGACCTCACTTCCGCTAGGAATATACTTTTTTTTTTTTTTTTTTTTTTTTTACAGTACACATAGATAAACATAGAAACAAAGCAGACAAAAAGGTGATACACAGATACAGATGTGTTGGCAAAAAAAAAAACAATGTAATAAATGTACTACTTAAGAGGACACAAAGGATGAATGTCAGAGATTCAGTTTTCACTGCTTTAGCTTTGGATAGTGTCCATATGCGTGTCTAGATAATCTTTGAGTAGAGAAAGGAGAGGTTTAGAGCCAGTACATTTTTGTTTATGTATATGAAATCTAGTTAGTATGAAACACAAATTAATTATGTATTATTTCCCTGTATTCTCGTTCAAGTAGTCAAACAATCCAAAGAAAACTACTTTAAAACTGAATGAAAAGTCACTTACAAAAAAAGACGGACAAACATTAACAAATCTGAGCGAAATTTCTCTGTGTGGGTACATTGCCAAAACAAGTGAATGACATCTTCATACGAAGAGTGACAAAAACAGCAATTCACTTCAATGTCTGATGTATATTTCCTATGAAAGGTTTTGGTCGGGTAACACTTGTGATACTTTATTGGTAAGCAGATACTTGAGACAAAGACAAGACCATATTTTCTCACAGGGTGCATTCTCTTCAATATTATTACAATATGGTATTACATAAGGCATTGTTATTATCTCTCTGGAAGAGAGCTCTGATTTTATTGTATTTATTTTTTTGTTGCTCTTGTGTCAATTATGTTTAAAGAGTAAGTGCATGGCCATTGAGGTTTATAACCTTGCATATTAATTAGCAGTAATAGGAATTATATAGATCTATACAAAATCTGAATAATTATAAATTCTGCCATGCTGTCCGACTAAAAAAATGTTGTTTTTGGACCAGTTGTCAAAGAAAAGTGATTTATTCTTGTAGAGAATATCCTTAGTGTTCCATAAGTAATATCCGTGCAGAGATAAGTTGTGTTTGTATATCAGGGACCAGCCCAAGAGCATCTGCTTATGGAAATTAGAAAGTTTAATACGCCTCTAGGAATATACGCTCTGATCGTGGTTCAAAAATGTCGACAGCAAAACAGAACTAGGGTCATTTTACTTTCATTTAAATTGTTTGAAAATTCTTAATTTGTTTTACATTTATTATATGCATTCTTCTGTTTCATTCTGTTGTGTTTTTATTATGCCATATTTGACAATTTGTCCATATAATTTTTTGGAACATGTGGTGTACTATGATAGTTCCTTTGTATTTTTAGTTACATTGTATTTTTTGTTGCATATTTGTAAGTGCCACATAAATGTCTGTATAGCCTACATCTTTATCATGTATACCCTTCTGTATCAAACACTATAATATAGGCTATTGTAAGCTATGAATATGATATGATAATTTGGTAACAATTTATTTTATTGTGTCCTTACACGTTAAGTACTTAATTACTGTACTTTTTCAATTATGCCAAATTACAAGCAACTTTAGTAAGTAGATGTTGTTAACATTACTCAGTTTGTGTAAATATATGATCAAATGCACTAAAATTGTGAATACTGTAAAATATTATTACAATGTAAAACAAATGTTTGTTTTTAAATGTACCGTAATTTATTCCTGTGACAGCAAAGTCACTGTCACTTTTGATAAATGTAATGCAATAAAACTATTAAATTACAATTATCAATTATCTATTACAATTATCCCATAATTTACTCACCCTCAAGCCATCCTGGGTGTATATTTTTTCTTATTTCTTCTTTCAGCCAAATACAATCAGAGTTATATTTAAAAATATCCTGGCTCTTCCAAGCTTTATAATGGGAGTGAATAGTAACTGAGATTTTGAAGCCCCAAAAGGTGCATGCATCCATCATAAAAGTAATCCATACAGCTCCAGGGTGTTAATAAAGGCCTTCTGTAGCAAAGCGATGCGTTTTTGTTGGAAAAATATCCATATTTATAACTTTATAAACTATATAATCACTGGCTTCCGGTAACGGCCGTATATACGAGAGTCTAGTTCTGGCGAAACTCTGTTTGGCGAAAGAAGAAAGTCATATACACCTACAGGATGGCTTTAGGGTGAGTAAATTATCGTATAATTGTAATTTTTGGGTGAACTAACCCTTTAATAACCTTTATTTTTTAATCTTATGGACCCAAAAAAGCCAAAACACCTTAAAATAAAGTGTAATTGATACTTTTTATAGCCTTTTTTGCAGTGTCAAATATTATATAACATATACTGTAATCCACATATATTTTAAGTGTAAAATTACTAATGATAATGCATCTGTAAAGACAACAGTTTTCTGGGTAGCCAGTTAATATTATTCATAATATACCTTTTCTGTATTGGTCAATGTAGCCGAGGTCTGGTTTGTTTTGAGTCATAAAGACATTTCTCTTCTTGTTAATCACATCCCCTGTCAATCAAAGTAGTGTCAACTCGGCTGAGCTTGTATATTGTGGCCAAAAATGTGACCTTTAAGACAAATTGAAGGGTTTTGACATTGGTTCAGTATCCCTCATATTCAACGTCAGACGTTTCACTCTTTAGGGGATATTGTCAGATTGTGCTCAGCACTCAAAGTTTTTCTTCCAGGGAGCGTTTTGAAAGGCAGGCTGCCCGTTTATAGCAATACTGACTGTCAAACAATAGTGTAAGGGCAATAGGGATGGGAAGCTGCTCACAATGGAGCTCTTTTCTGTCCCGAGAAAGTGTGGGAAAATCTCCCTCGTCTATTCATACATTTTTTCTTCTTTTTTTCCATATAATGAGGAGACTGATGAACGCAACAACTGAGAAAAAGAACAATTGCCATCAATGACAAAGCACAAGTGCTCGATGCTGAACCCTGTAATGTCTTCTGGAAGGGTTAATCATTTTAGGAAGGGTTTTGGAGACAAACCTTTCAGCTCCAGTCCTTTCTGTGGCGCTCTTTAATTCCTCCAGTTGGAAGAGAACTGTAACACTTGACATCCTCTTACACTCTGTGCTGTTTGAGCATATTCCCACGCAGCAGGACACATCAAGACAGTGGCTTGGGTCGGCCTCTAAGAGAAACCAGGGTTTTAGTTTAAGACATGTAGAAACTTGCTGATGTATCTACTGTACAGATTATATATATTTAATTTATTCTTGTGATGACAGCTGTCTTTGCTGATCATTACTCCAGTCTTCAGAGTCACATGATCCTTCAGAAATCATTGATGCTCAAGAATCCTTCATTATTAATTTTATCAATGTTGAAAACAGTTTTTGCTTAATAAATGCTTTAATACATTTCATAAATAAATTTCATAAATGCAAATAAATGTTGTTCATTGAATGTTCTATCTATTCAAAGAATCCTGAAAAAAGTACCACCATTTCCACAAATACATGAAACAGCACAACTGTTTTTAACATTGATAATATTAAGAAATGTTTCTTGAGCACCAAATCAGCATATTAGAATGATTTCTATCTATCTATATCCATCCATCCATCCATCCATCCATAATTCTTAGCTGCAGACATGTTGTTCGTCTACTGTACTATCTATCTATCTATCTATCTATCTATCTATCTATCTATCTATCTATCTATCTATCTATCTATCTATCTATCTATCTATCTATCTATCTATCTATCTATCTATCTATCTCTTAACTTCTCAGCTGCAGACATGTTGTTTGTCATCCATCCATCCATCAACTGCAGACATGTTGTTCGTCAAGTGATTAACAGGCAATTGCTTTTTTCTTATATTTTTTGTTTTCAATAATACTTTAAACATGGTCTAACATTCGCTTAAAGTCCCCCTGAGGTGTAAATCACGCTTTTAATGCTGTTTATATGTCTATGTGGTGTTTTTAATTTGCTTTAAGACAAACCATTTGCTGAGCAATTTGCCCTTAAAACTGCAATGAACCAAAGAAAGTCTCAAAAATGCGGTTTGAAATGTTTCTGACGTCACAAACTACCTTGTAACCAATCAGGTCAACGTGTGATCGTCAACGAGTGGAATTGTTTTTCAAGGAAAAAAAAAACGTTTAAATATGTCATTTTGGTGATCAAAGATGCGTTTTAAAGGATAAAATGATTGACAGGGGACTTTATTTTACTTCATCCATCTCTTAACTTCTCAGCTGCAGACATGTTGTTCGTCAAGTGATCAACAGGCGATTGCTTTTTTCTTTCATATCCTTTGTTTTCAATAATACTTTATCATTGATCATGGTCTAACATTCGCTTAACATACTTTATACTGTGAGCAACACTGTTTACATTGCTCTCAAGGCACTCAAAAATGACCCTTGTTGACATTCAAATAACACCAAGTACTTACAAACAATTCATACTCTCTAAATATCTGATTGTGTTGGTGTGTATTCAGTGAGATAAGCGGCTCCTCTGCGTCTCATTTACACTGGAAAAACAGGGAACGTTTCTGATGCTGAGTGACCAATTACAGGCATTTGACGTTTATGGAGCAGGATTTTGATCTCTTGTTTGAGAAAAACATTGTTGGTGGTCAGGTCAGTAGAAGGTACGAGTCATCAGTTTCCAGTTATATTCTATTTTACCCAGAAACGGTGAGCAGAATGTGCAAGGGCAGATCTACATTATTGTTTCACCTATTTCCTGTTCAACTGCATCTCTTAGTAAAATGCCTTTGCCTTTGTGTCTCATCCTTTCTTTCTCTCTGGAGCGTAAAGGAGTACATGAAGAAAAAAACGAAGTCGGTGGGGAGTCTGAAAGAACCTGAAAGAGAGAGGAAGAGGACCATTCAATTTAGAAATATCTAAGACCCACCTAATATGTAATAGTGACCTCAGGTGCTTTCATCTATTTGCTGTACACATAGTGATCAGATTTAGAAAGGAAGTATAGCCCTATCTGCCATGTTTTCATTTCTTCAAAGCAGCCTACGTAAGGTACACCACATCTTCCTGTTCAAATCTATAAGAATGCACTGGCAACAT